CCCTAGAGGACAGAGTGGAACTGCCCCACAGGGTCTCCAAGGCTGTCAGTCTTCACAGAAGCAAAGCCCAAACCACACCCACTGCATGGAGTCCATTCTGACCCACAGCGCCCCTAGAGGACAGAGTGGAACTGCCCACAGGGTCTCCAAGGCTGTCAATCTTCATGGAAGCAAAGCCCATAATCTTTATGGAACCAAACTCACTGCCATGGAGTTGATTCCGACCCACAGTGTCCCTAGAGGACAGAGTGGAATTGGCCCACAGACTTTCCCAGGCCGTCATCTTTATGTTCTGCTGTGCATAGGGTCATTATGAGTCGGAAACGACTCAATGACACCGAACAATCTTTATGTAAGAAGACTGCCTCAACTTCCTTCTGTGGAACAGCTGGTGGGTTGGAACTGCTGAACTTTCTTTCACTTAGCACCTGAGCACTTAACCACTGTGCCACAAGGGCTCCTTCCACACTATGGGTAGAGCTACAGGAACACCACTCATCTGTCAGTCTGCCCTACTGCGGTGGCTTGCATGTTGCTGTGAGGCCGAAGGCTATGTCACCAGTTTTTCAAATACCAACAGGGTCACCCAAGGCAGACAGGTTTCATCACAGCTTCCAAACTAAGACAGACTCGGAAGAAAGAAGAGGCCATCCACGTCTCAAAGAACCGGCCAGTGAAAACTTTATGAACAGCCCTGAAACACTGTTTGATACAGTGCCAGAAGAGGAGCCCTTCATGTCGGAAGGCGCTCAAAATACAACTGGGGAAGAGCTGCCTCCTCAGAGCAGAGCCAACCTTAAGATAGAGTAAAGCTTTCAGGGCCTCCATTTGCTGATACAGCACGACCCAAAATGGGGAGAAACAGCTGCAAACATCCATTAATAATCGGAACATGGAATGTACCAAGTATGAATGTAGGTAAATTGGAAATTCTCAAAAATGAAAAAGAACACATCAAGATTGATATCCTAGGCATTAGTGAGCTGAAATGAACTGGCTTTGGCCATTTTGAATCAGACAACCATATGATCTACTATAGTGGGGAATGACAAATTGAAGAGGAATGGCATGGCATTCATTGTCACAAAGAATGTTTCAAGATCTACCTGAAGAAGAGTGCTGTCAGTGATAGGATAATATCCATATGCCCACAAATAAGACCATTTAATACTACTATTATTCAAATTTATGCACCAAACACCAAACCCAAAGACAAGGAAACTAAAGACTTTTACCAACTTCTGCAGCCTAAAATTGACAAAACGTGTAATCAAGATGTATTGATTATTACTGGTGAGTGAAATGCAAAAGTTGGAAACAAAGAAGAATCACTGGTAGTTGGAAAATATGGCCTTGGTGGTAGAAGTAACACTGGAGACTGCATGATAGAATTTTGCAAGACCAACGACTTATTCACTACAAATACCTTTTTTTAACAACATAAATGGTGGCTACACATGCGGAGCTCACCAGGTGGAGTACACAGCAATCAGACAGAATACATCTGTGGAAACAGATGATGGAGAAGCTCAGTATCTTCAGCCAAAACAAGGCCAGGAGCTGACTGTGGAACAGACCATCAACTGCTCATATGCAAGTTTAAGTTGAAGCTGAAGACAATTAAAAGAAGTCCATGAGAGTCAAATTATGACCTTGATTATATTCCACCTGAATTTAGAGATGTTCTGAAGAACAGATTTGATGCATTGAACAGCAATGAAAGAAAACCAGATGTGTTGTAGTATGACATCAAGAACATCATCCATAAAGAAAGCAAACAGTCATTTGCAAAGACGACAAGGAGGCCACATGTTCTGACCTCCTCTAACCGCACAAGAGGAAGACAGGATTACCAGCAGTAACCCAAGGCCTATTACTGCCAGGCCAGACATGCTGCCTCCCTCTAGCCCTTTCACCAACCGTTCCTCCCAAAGCACCCACCACCTCTCTCCTGGGTTCGATAATTCGCTGCAGTGGCCACACAAGAGCTCACAGATTACGGGGTTTATTAGGGAAGCACCAGGCTACAACTCAATTCAGGAAGAACGCTCAGTCTCTCTCCCAGCCCACCGTCCCTCAGCCAACAGTCTCTCACAGTCTCTTTCCCAGCAGTGCTGGTCCCTCGGTGTCTCACTCAGCAACGCGTGTCTCTTGCGTCTCTTTCCCAGCAACATGTATCTCTTTCTGGGGCACGTGTCTCTTTCGGCAGCACGTCTTCCTCGACCAGCAGTCAGAGCGAGCGTCCTGCCTCTAGGAGGCCTCCTTTTGAGCCCGGCAGGGTGGTCAAACTAGCCAATCATAGCATCAGAACTCTAAGTACCTGAGAGAGAGTGGGCACCTCCCAGAACATTGTTTTGTGCCACTCCCAACAGAAATACTCCAGGTGGACACCTTCAGCAATCAGGAGCTCCTCAGTTGCTCATAGCAATTCCCACCTTGGAGTTTACAAAGACTTATGGGTAGAAAAGCCACACTAAGTACTACACTGCATCATTAAAAGGACAGGAAAGGAAGAAAAGACCAAGATGGATGCCAGAAGAGGCTATGAAACTTGTCCTTGAACAAAGAGTAAAGCATATGGAAGAAATGACAAGATCAAAGAGCTGAACAGAAGATTTCAAACGGCAGCTTCAGAAGACAAAGTATTATAATGAAATGTGCAGAGACCTAGAGTTAGAAAACCAAAAGGGAAGAACACACTCAGCTTTTCTCAAGTTGAAAGAACTGAAGAGGAAACTTAAGCCTCGAGTTGCAATAATGAAAGATTCTATGGGCAATATATTGAATGATGAAGGAACATCAAAAGAAGATGGAAGGAACGCACAGAGTCACTATACCAAAAAGAATTGGTCGATGTACATTCATTTCAGGAGTTGGCATATGATCAAGAACCAATGGTATTGAAGGAAAAAGTCCAAACTGCACTGAAGAAACTGGCACATACACACACACACAAAAAGCATTCTAGGAACAGATGGAATACCCACTGAGATGTTTCAACAAACAGATGCCCCACTGGAGGCACTCACTCGGCTATGCCAAGAGATTTGGAAGATAGCTACCTGGCCAGCTGACTGGAAGAGATCCACATCTGCACCCATTCCACAGAATGTGGGTATTATTGAACAATATCATTAATATCACATGCAAGTAAAATATGCTGAAATCATTCAAAAATGGTTGTAGTAGTGTATTGACAGGGAACTTCCAGAAATTCAAGCCGGATCCAGAAGAGGATACGGGATGAGGGATATCACTCCTTATGTCAAATGGATCCTGGATAAAAGCAAAAAATACCAGAAAGATGCTTACTCGTGTTTTATTAACTAAGCAAAGGTGTTTGACTCTGTGCATCATAACAAATTATGGATAACATTGCAAAGAATATGAATTCCAGAACAATTAATTGTGCTCATGAGGAACCTGTACATAAACCAACAGGCTGTTGTTTGAACAGAGCAAGGGGATACCACGTAGCTTAAAATCAAGGGAGTGTGTCAGGGTTGTATCTTTTCCCCATACTTATTCCATCTGCATGCTGAGCAAATAATCCGAGAAGCTGGACTAGATGAAGAAGAACGTGGCATCAGGCCTGGAGGAAGGCTCATGAACAAGCTGTGATACACACATGAAACAACCTTGCTTGCTGCAAGTGAAGATGCCTTGAAGCACTTACTGAAGATTAAAGACTACACACAGTGTACAGGATGGACTGATTATACCTCAACATAAAGAACATGAAAATCCTCACAGCTGGACCAGAAAGCCACATCACAGATGGAGAAAAGCAGGGAACGGAGGGCTGGTGCACGACCAGGCAGTGTTCTGTTCCGCTGTCCACAGGGTGGCCCCGAGCCAGAGTCGACTCGACCCACGTAACAAAGAGAACCACGGGAACAAACGCCAGGAAGGTGCTGCTCAGAAAGGTGACTCTGTCAGCCACAGCAAACAAAATCTTTTGTGGAGTCAACCTGGTATACGTACCTGGCTAAGGCAGCCATGTTTCCGAGGGTATAAAACACAGCGAAAAGCTTCAGGCCCTGCGGAAGCCACAGCAACGCAGTCCCCTAATTAAGACATTACAGCAAGGGAAAAACGGTTCTGTCATTTTAATGGCTTAAAACATAAACGTGCTACTACAATGCTACCACTAAGACATAAGTATTACATGACATGTTTAAAACAGAAATGCGCTTATATAGTCACTCATTACTTACTTAAAAATTCAGTTTGTTTTCTGTAATTTGCTAATTTCACTTATTTATCTGCATATAACCAAAAACCAAACTCATGCTGTTGAGTCGGATGCGACTCATAGCGACCCCCAAGGCAGTATCACTACAGAAGTAGATGCCCAGTCTTCCTTCCGAGGAGTGGCTGGTGGGTTTGAACCGCCAGCCTTCTGGTTAGCAGTCAGATGCCTTAGGAACCGTGCCACCAGAGCTCCTCATGTGCACATGGATATATACAAATCAGCCATAACAAAACCTCCTTACTCGTGAGTAAATCTCACTTGCTTAAATGCGATATTCCCGATAAACGGCAGGTTAAAAAGGTAATCGACCAAAGCAAACTCATTGCTGCCGTGTCAGTCATGACTCCTGGGGACCCACACGTTACAGAGCAGAGGGCTCCCTAGGGTTTCCGTGGCTGCCTTCCTTACGGAAGCAGATCACCAGTCCTTTCTTCTGCAGGTGCCGACGGGGGAGGCAAACCACAAACCTTTAGGCTGACAGCTGAGTGCCAACAGCCTGCACCGCCCAATAAAAGCCAAACCCACTGTGATCGAGTTGATCCTGACTCACAGCGCCCCAGAGGACAGAGTGGAACTGCCCCAGAGGGTTTCCAAGGCTGTAAACTTTAAGAAGCAGACTCCTTCATTTTCTCCCAGAGCACATACTGGGTTCTAACCGCCGACCCAAGGGGGGGGCAGCTGAGCGCTCTAACCACTGCGCCCCTCGAGGGCCTGGAAGGTGGTAAACACATCTAAGTCACTGGTTCTTCTTTTCAGCTCTCTTAACACACACTGATTTTTCTTAAATAAAATTGTATCAATTTACACATCATCCATGAGGTCTACCCCTTCATTTTAGGTGTAAAAATGCCCCATCCAGAGAGTCAAACAGCCCTTCAGACAAAGTGGGTTGTCTGCTGACAGTAAAAGGGGTATGTGTCTGACACACAGGGACAACGGGTAGCAGGGTGCAGCTCAACTCACCAGGATAGAGCAGATGACGCCGCACGCGAAGCAGATGGCGAACCACCTGAGTCTGGTGCTGAAACTCAGGGAGGAGGCATCCAGGACCTGGGGAGGGGCAGAGTCAGAGGGGCGCTCGGAGCCAACGGCAGGGCAACCCTGCACCGCATGGCGGCCAGGACGCGGTTTAGCACGTGCTGCAAGTGCCCTAGTCTGCACACGGCACTGCCCTCCCCGACCACGAGGACTCATGGTCGCGAGGGAAACGTTAACACGGCCTGGTGTCAGCTGACACGGAGGAGCAACTGCTCATGGGTCAGGTACGGACAGTCCTGTGCTCACACTTCTACCAAGGCCTCTTCTGTAGAGACCGCAGACAAACATGGAGAAGCCGGACAGGAAGGGGACATGATGGACCTGGGCAGGGAGGGGCCGGGAGGGACCTGCACGGGGAGGGGGACAGAACTGAAGGAGGCCGTGGTTTCAGCTGCGACATCCCCTGGACTCAGACTGCACTGCAGTGTTGCCTGTCTCGGGCACGGGTGCCCATCTGTAACCCACCTTCACCTTGGTCACTGGCTGTAGGCTCTGGGGAGGGGGGCAGGTAGTTGACCAGCATCCCCATGGTAACTGGCTACAGGCTGGGGGGCGGGGGGGTAGTTGACCAGCATCCTGGTGAACAGAGGCCAAAGCTGTGAGCCATTAGTGTGGATTTAGAGTGGCCTGGGGAGGGGACCCTGCCAGGAAAGGCCACTGAGGCAGGGCACTAGGACAGGTTTAAACTGATCCTTTGTCAAAAACGTATCCACCAAGGATGACAATCTTCCTCCAATGCTAACTTACTGTAGAGCAACATTTCTGAGTACGTGTAACCGCCAACCAGATTATACAAAGCAGACATTTTTTATGCATACCTGGTACAATGTGTAACTTCAGTATCAGTAACGATTGGGTAATTGATTATCAATGGCTGCTAAGCACACTGTTAAAATAAAACTTATTTTCCTAACAAAGCTGATAAATTATCAACAATAACTATTCCAAGACACTATAACTGTACAGTCAAGGTTTATGTTTCAAAACTTAAATTTCTACCATATATACTTAAAAATAGCACCACATGATGATAATGCATTTTCAAGAATAATGAAGCAAAAATCCAACAGCTTCAAATACCTTGGGCTACACTGCTTACCTTAACCGATGGATCTTGGAATCCTCATGCAGCATGAAAAGTAGACAAAAATAACTAAATAGAGATTCCGTCAAAGTAACAATATATCCCTTTATGACACATTTCAAATTTCTCATTTAATTCACATTCTTTCTATGAACATAATGTTTATAACAACATTGATCATTTGACCCTAAACAAAAAACGAACTTGCCTATACAGATATGCAACTCCCTTCTTTTTGAACAGAAAGTACATTTCAGCTACAGAGAAGGGAATAAACTCAATATCACACAGTAGGGAATCAATCATCTGAGAGCAATGGAAGCCGTGCGGTAAGGAGGCACGATGATGGATGGACAGTCAGTGGGGAGATGGGAGCCATGTGGCAAGGAGGCGCAATTACGGATGGACAGTTGGCGGTAGATGGAAGCAGGCATGATTATGATTGGACGATCGGGAGGACACGGAAGCTGTCACTAAGTAGGCGTGATTACGGATGGACAATCGGGGTGGTCCGCACCTGGAGGTGAGAAGGCCCTGACAAGAGGGAAAACCAGCCACCTGCACCTTCTTTCCCATGTTAAATCACCCCTGCCCCACTGTAAAGTCAAAGGCCGGTCTGCATCAGTCACGTTTTTCCTCTTCTCAGCAATGAAATAGCACAGCCACCTGCCCTATGTGGGCATTTTCCTCTTACTATCACCACCCACACGATGATATCTAAAATGAGTGTCAGGACGGATTGCTGCCATTTGTAAACATGGACTATTCAGTCCACAAGTAAATGACTTGTCCCAAACCGTGCAAACTGCTGAGGCTCCAAACACAGCCTCACGTGTCCTAACTCCTGATGGAAAGGGGGTGCCTCCCACCATGCGGCTGGCACTCCTCCCGCGCTCTGTCCCGCATCATGGGCCATGATTGCCCCTCCCCCCCAACTCACACCAGGACCATCTCAGCGGTGCTGCTGGCCGGCCCATAAACCCAGGCATTACAAAGGAAAGGCTCCTTAACACCGCCCCACGGACTACTAAAGGAGGAGGCAGCAAAGGTCAATCTGTGGCAGAGCTGCCTGTCCCAGGTCCCTGGTGCCCGCCTCCTAGCACGACAAACGGCACCGCCTGGGGCCAGCCCCTGACCAATGACAACATGACTAAACAACCTGGAACATCCTGGAGGAAACCCACCTGAACGGGAGACGGAATGACCCAATCACACAGCACACGCAGCAGACACGACAGCCGCCATTCCCACACGGCAGCGGAGGAGCCTAGGAACCAACCAAGTGAAGGTGGGTGGCTTCCGGTCAGCGGACACACAGAACGTGGCTACTGGTCTCCGACCCTGGCTCAGTTCGACGGGTGGACAAGACCACAGGGAGCAGGCACAGGGGCAGGGCTGGCACCACACACACTCAGGGTCCCGGGGCACCGCTGCCAAGCCCACCATGTGGCCGACACCCCCACCCTGCGCCTGCTCCTCCTGTCACCTCCTGGTCATCTGATTGAGCAACGCCTGTGACCCCATTCCCACGTGGCGGGCTGGCCGTTCTGGTCCTCCCCTCCCATCCCTATGGTCTCTCCCCACTCCACCGTGGTGACCCTCCTCTCAGGGCTGCTTATCACCAGAAACAACCCCAGCCCGTCTGCGGCAGGGGGACTCAACCCTGGAACCCACTGCTGTGTCCACGGGCACTGCATGCAGCCCCCAGGCCCCTCTCCTTCCTCACCAGGAGCCGAAAGGACACCACTCCAACAAGGCACTGCATCTGCCACACCCATCTGCAAGAGCCGCCCCGGACTGGCCCTCCACTGTCTCTGGGCTGTGCCCGACCACTGCCGGACAGTCTCCCAGCAGGACAGATGCCTCACGACACAGGACACCTGCCACGGGCTCTCATGGCTGCCTGGCACTCGGACGCTGTTGCTGCTAAAGTCCGGTCACCTCCTCACTCAACCCGATGACTGTGTTACCACATGATTCCTGCCCCAAAGCTCACACTCTGGGCAACAACTTCCTCCCGAGGAAACAGCCTATCAAAGGCGGACTCCCTCGGCTGCTTGCTGGGAAGTATCTGCCTTCAAGAGCACTGTGCTCACACCCCTCCTCCACTTCCCGCAGCGAGGGCCTGGTCCCCGAGCACAGGCCGACCCAGGCACCGTGACCTCCTCAGGGACTCACAGCCCACATGCTCTGTTCTCCAGGAGTGAACTGTGTTCCTGCTCGGAGACATGGCCACCAACCTTCAAACCTGGCTACAGCTCTTCCACCTTAAGGAGAAAGCTTTCTTGGTTTCACCCTCCAGCCTCCGCCCACTCGCTCACTCTTTCAACCAGTCACCTGCTGCCTGGCTACCGCGTCAGGTCCTGCTCGGGGAGCTGGGGACGCAGCAGGGGAGACAGAGGAGAAAGCCCGGGACTGTCCAGCAAGCACCGGGGGGGGGGGCCAGCAGGTGTGCTGAGCGCAGGGACGAGGCCGTCCTGGGGCTGGGGAGGGCAGTCCTGTTGGAAGGTCGGAGGAGGGTACGTTTGCGTACACACCTGAACGAAGCCAGGGTGAAGCGGGCAAACGTCAGCGGGAAACAGGGCACTGAACGCTGACCTGGGCAGGAAGGGCCTGCCTCGTGCAGACCAAGGACAGACGGGGAGTGTGCCCTCTTCCCCCCCCACCACCGAACCTCCTCCCTGGCCTGGCCTCAACCCCCCGTTACCCAGTGTGCTTCAGTCCTGTCACTTCACAGCTCCCTCAGACGCAGCTGATGCTGCCAAGGCCCCACGGGGTCCCGAGAGCTGCTGGGGTCCCATCCGGTGCACACCAGGTGCCCAGCCCCAGGAAGCTCCCAGCACGCAGATGCCCCATCACCGGGCACAAAGCCAACTTCCCGGCCCTAATGCCAACGCAGTTCTACGCCGCAGTCTCTCCACCTCTGGGGCACCTGACACTTGCCCTCCCTCCTGTGAAATGCTCTCTTCAGGAGACGCCTCTGGCCACTCTCCGCTCCTCTGACTGCCCTCTGTGGGTCCCCTCCCTCTCTGGCAGCTGCCCCTACACGCACCTGCTCTACCTGGGGGCCAAGCATCTCTCCCCAAGCCTTCTCTCTACTCCCCATGGTCACGACATGAAGACCATCTCTGCCGCTCCATTCATGGACCCCCAATAAGTTTATTGTTCCCACTCCACCTGCCTTCAGGACAGGACCCACCCCAGTGATGTTCCCACAGGTCCAAGGATGTAAAACGCCAGTGCCCACTGCCACCGACTAAGGGGCCCCATTCAGAGTCCACTGACAAGGACGGGCAGCCATGACAACAGCTAGGACCAACCTAGGCTCTGGGAGTCCTTGGCAGGTATGTGGTAGGGCAGGCAACACAATCGAAAGATATGAAGGTGTTAGCTCAGCTCAGGGCGGTTTGTGGCTAGAGGACAGGAGACCAAAGCAGCAGCAGACCAGCTACCTGCCCCTCCTCCCCGAGGACGGCCACCTCACCGGGTCTGCGGAGCGCACGCCCGTGCAGGTGCACAAAGCATCCGTGACCATATGCATTGGCCTGTATCTGTGAGAGCTCCCTCGGGGTCCCAGTTTGGGCATCAGTATGTTACCCTTCCTTCTGGAGAAGATCACCCACTGACTCCTCTCTTCAAAGGTTCTCCTGCTTAACCACCCAGCTCTTTGACTGACTACACAGTTTTCAAATCTGGTTTCCTTCATAACCACTCTGGCACAGTCTGCAGAGCTTACAATACCAACCCCCATCCAAAGTGGTGACCCCAGGCGTACCCTGGTTCCTAAGCTGTACCCTGGGTCCCCGGGCAATCCTCACCAGCATCCATCCACCCACCACTCTGCCTAGCATAGAATACCAACCTCCATCCAAAGTGGTGACCCCAGGCGTACCCTGGTTCCTAAGCTGTACCCTGGGTCCCCGGGCAA